GAATATAGATGAGAAGAATAAGACAATTCCTCTTTTTATCCTTTTTCAACACTTCTATAACTTTCATTATCTTTTCTGCAGTTTTACTTCATATTCTTTTTATAATTGCTACTTTCATTCGAAAGTTATAATAACTGATAGAATTCCCTATGCTTTTAGATCATGAAAACATCAGGAATACTATGGAATATTATAAGTATTACAAAACAAATATCTGGTAAATATTTTCTTCAAAGTTGTCTGATGATTTTCCATTTTTATTCTGGAAATCTATACCTTACCACTTAAATATCTAAAGTAGATTCTTTCTGATAGTGTTTAAGCAGAACCTCTTGGAAATAATAATGAAAGCTGTTTAAAAATTGATGACAAGCCACAGCCAATGCTTTCTCTTGTCAAATTACTGAGGCACTGGGTTTCTGTGCCCTTTCAGATCACAGCAGGTAGTACTTCCTCAGTGATAAATTTGCCTGTTGTCATTACAGTGATATGGCTTAATTTACTTCTTGCATGGATAATGACAGTAATGGTTTTAAAGTCAAAGGCCTTATGATAAAACCAGACTTTCAGCAGTATTAATTGAAAATCTCATTCCTCTAACTAGAGTTTTATGCAGCATTATGAAGTGTGCATCTGTCTGAGATCTATAGAGTGTGGCAATACACAGAAGTCATGTCAATAGTTTTGGTCCTTTCTATTAAGCTATAAATAAAGCAGCAATATTAGAACTAATGTCAGGTTGCTGGAGTTGACTGGTGCAGTGCTGGAAGTTACTGGAGTTGACTGGTGCAGTGCTGGAGTCAGGAGAGGGGAGTGGAGCCTGCAAGGCAGGTGAAGCAGTTCCAGCTGATGGCATTCCAGCACACCCTGACAGAGGGATGCAGAGCAGGATAACAGGGGTACATAGCTTGTGGGGTGCCACCCAGCACACTAAAAATTTGTGGGAGAGGTGGCAGGGAGCAGCAGTGTCATTTCTTAGGGAGCATCACAGCCCTGCTTGTACCTACCCCTCTGCAGCCAGGGCTGGGACAAGAAATCCAACATCATCCTCTTCTCCGCGTCATGCACAGAGTGGCCTGCCCATGACTTTGGGAACAGCCACCCAGGTTATGGGGTATGTGCTGTGTCTCTCTCACCTTTGCAAATCAGGACAAAGTAGCTCAGTATCTGCTTTACTTTATATGTCTCTCTCACCTTTGCAAATTAGGGCAAAGTAGCTCAGTATCTGCTTTACTTTCTTAAAGTGAAGCACTTTGTGTTTCATCCTTCAAGGAGCACAAGCAAGTGCTTGACTCCAGGTTGGTCCTGATGCTCACACGCTCCCAGGACCTCTGTGAGCAGGAGGCAGAGCACTCACAAAGTTTCCAAGGAGGAGCAGATAGACACTGATTAAAGAACAGAAGCAGCAGAATGTGCTGGGGCTCAGGAGTTCTCATCAAAGCCTGTTTGGATGGGCTCTGGAGGAAGGAGACATGGAGCAGAGGATGTCCTCGCTCTGCTTCTGTCAGCTCCCAGCAGTTCATTGAACAAATTAGGTTTCTCTCTCAGATCCACACATGACAGTGGATGGCATTTACCAGATGGCATGTGTAATGGGACTGTCACACCGTTAGAGGTTTAAAAGTAAAGCAGGGGAGGCAGTTAATGAATACACACTTCTCATTTCAAGAATTTCTTTCTGTCCCTGTCAGGCATTAGGTACTCAACCTGTGAGCGTTGAAAGACTTTTGATGTGTGTGTATTAAAAGGCACAGTCTAGCACGTAACTAGGTTGTTTTACTTTAAAAATTGGCATAGAAATAAGCAATTTATGTCATTTCTTTAAAAAGTGATTTATTTTTTTCTTCTTGATGACTTTCACCCTGCTCACAAGTGAAATGCATTCTTTAACTGGAGTGTCATCACTGAGAGTGTTTAATATTAAGAGTCATCTTTCTCACAGACCTGATGATTCTACTTCGTAGATTTCTGTCTGTATTGTGTTTCCTCATTTGTTGAAAAATAAAAATTTGGCAACTCAAAAGTCTATTTTTTCAAGGATACTGATTCATTTTTCATTTGGTTTTAAATTTCATATTACCTCAAAATTAATATCTTTATATGGGACCTCACTTTAAAACATTGATCTGGGGAGATGGCAGTAGTAGTAGTGGTAGTGAGCAGTGAGAGACTAAGGAAATACAATATATAATACACTGAATTTTCTAAACTGCATACTGGCATTTTTCTTTTTTTTTATTAGTTTCTCATAGCTTTGCCAATGCCAACACAAAACAAACAAAAAAAGCAAATTAGAAAATAAAAGCATTCCTCTCTTTATCCCTTTCCTTTTGTTAGGCATTTTTGTGTTAATTAAAGGACTACTCTAGCTCCAATTGAAGTCATTTGGGAGGATTCCTTTTATTTTCAGTGATGATTTTATCATGCCCATGTTTATTAGGTTTGTTGCTTTTCCTGCAGACTGGCTTTGGGGACTGCAGGGAAAAAGCAGGGCAGGTTTATAAATAAATATGGTCAGCATATCAATGTATATCAATAGGAGAAAGGTAAATTCAGCTAAATCTTGGTGAGTAAACCTCAGTTTTCCTTTGTGCATTATATTCACCTTGTTGCATTCTTAAAAAAAATAAAATGGTACGAACAAAGGAATCAGATTGTTAGGGGAGAAAATTCTCAATTACAAGGAAACAAAAGTCAGGCTGCCATATCAGCCAGCTCAATTATGAATAAAATTATTTTCTGCCTTTTTCTCTGTACAGGTAAGGTCTAGATGAAACACTATGGGTTGAATGCAATGGGGTGTGGGTTCTTGGCAGCACAGGGAAAAACACTGGCACAATTATTGCACCTTAAAGTCTTCTGGGTTTTTGGCAGCACAGGGAAAAACATGGCACAATTATTGCACCTTAAAGTCTTTCTGGCTCTCAAAAACTGATTTCACATACCAAACCAGTACAAATGACTCACAGCAACCTGTTTTTGTGGCCATTTGTGTGCATATGGTCAGTTACAGCATTTCAGGGGCTTTTTCTCAGCCAGGCCTACACAAATATCTGGTGCACAATTGGTGATCCCACAGGATTTGCTTGTAGGTTGAAGGACTCACCTTCATGATCTCTTAAGAAGGCATCTCAAAGGGGCTGGAAGCTCAGTGAATCTCAGTCTCTTTAAGCTGTCTTTTGGAGCTTAAAAAATGTTGGGGTTTTTGATATTCAGTGTTCAGCTTTGGGCCTGTCACTACAAGAGAGACATTGAGGCACTGGAGTGTGTCCAAAGAGGGACAGCAGAGCTGGGAAAGGGTCTGGAGCACAAGTCTGATGAGGAATAGCTGATGGAACTAGGGTTCTTCAACCTGGAGAAAAGGAGGCTCACAGTTAGACCTTACCACTCTCCACAACTACCTGAAAGGACATTGTAGCCAGGTGGGAGTTGGTCTGCTTTCCCAAGGAAGGGTCTCTTATTCCCAAGTGACAGGGCTAGAAGAAATGGCCTCAAGTTTCACCAGGAAAGGTTGAGATTGGATATTAGGAAAGGTCTTCCCCGAAAGGATTGTCAAGCATTGGCACAGGCTGCCAAGGAAGCGATGAAGTCACCATCCCTGCAGGTGTTTCAAAGACTTGTAGACATAACACTTAGGGACATGGTTTAATGGTGGTCTTGGCAGTACTGGGTTAATGGCTGGATTCAATCAGAGGTGTTTTCCAGCCTAAATGATTCTAGAAGTCTATGATTCTGTTATCTTCCCACACACATGGTGGGGGAGCCTGTTGGCCCTGCTGTTGGGATCTTTGCTAGGCATACAGATTTCCTCTGGTGCTCAACTTGCTGCTGTTGTATCATGTTGCATTATGGGGAAAGGGAAGGAAAGTAAGATAACCCCTGTCTCTGAGGTGAAGAACTAACCATTTCATCACTGCAGTACTTCTCCCACCTTCCTGAGCAGTACTGTCAAGTTCATGGAAACATCTATGAACAGGTATGGTATTAACATGTGAGTGACTGACCTGGACCAGTCCACCTTGGCTCAATGTCCTGTCTCCAAGAGCAGTCACCAGATGATAATTGGAAAGCAGAGAGAAAGAAGCTGACAACTACAAAATTAACCTAATCTCATGTGTCACCCCATTTTTCTATCAATCAGTCATTTTTTAACTTTCTGAACAAGATGAATCCAGATCACTGTGCTAAGGACTAAAGCATCTTACAGCATCCTGTGGCAAAGACTATGGCATCATAAACTCTGCAGCATCCTATGGCAGTGAATTGTGTGGTTCACTCTTCACTCATGTGCACTGCATAGTAATGATAATCCTCTTTGTATAACACTGACTGATTTCAATACCCAAATGCTGCATTTTAAGACAGAATATGTGGCCTTTTTTAGTGTGAGAGCCAAACTGGTGTTTAATTCATTAAGAAAAACATAATTTGCAAAACAGCAAGTTATCCATAGCATATAAAATGTAAATGCTTTGTGCTGTGATGTTTGGGTGTCATTAGAATAATTTTAAAGGCAAGTGATTTAATTGTGTTTGTGCTAATTATAATGTTTACAAATTAAGGAAAGATGCGTGGTCTGTTGGGAAAGGGCTTTGAAACCTCACATGTCTTTGAATCTACAGTACTGTCATTTAGTCATAGACTCTTTCTAATACCAGGGTGATTTGCTTTTTAGATTACTCTTGCATGAAAAGTGAGTCTCAAGAGTCTTCAGCTCCATGGAATTCAAAACCAGGTTCACATGTGTCTGTGTGTGCTTTGATAGAAATTTAACCAAGTTCTTGAAAGGGCTTTGAAACCTCACATGTCTTTGAATCTACAGTACTGTCATTTAGTCATAGACTCTTTCTAATACCAGGGTGATTTGCTTTTTAGATTACTCTTGCATGAAAAGTGAGTCTCAAGAGTCTTCAGCTCCATGGAATTCAAAACCAGGTTCACATGTGTCTGTGTGTGCTTTGATAGAAATTTAACCAAGTTCTTTTCTCCTTCTTTTCAAGGTCCCCGTGTCCCGATGGTGACTGTTCACAACACAACGGATGCACAGAGTAAGAACAGCCTTGAGCTTTGCCATTTTTCTGAGAAAAGTAGCCAGGCAGGATAGTGACATGTAGCTGCTCTTTGGTAAACTTACAGCCATTGGGGAGCCCAGATGCTGCCCTAAAAGCAAGTTTTGTGCAAGGCAAAGGGACTTGCAGAGCTGCTGTGCTGCCATACAACAGCTTACCGTTGGGACTACAAACAAGGTGGTTTGGGCACGGTGTTTGTTGTCAACTTCCTCAAAAAAAATGTGAAGTCCAAATCTCTCTCCATCTTTTTGTTAGTCTTGCACTGGTTTTGCTTTATGTCCCATTCAAAAATAAGAAATATTTAGCTTAATCTGTGGTTTTAATAAAATCACTCTGATATGAATTATCAGGGATACTGCAGAGGAGTGAGCCCCACAAGTGGTGCCTCTGCCTGGTTTCCTAATCTGTCCATGAGGACTGTAGCACTTATTGTTTTGTAAGGCTTTTTCATGCTAATGATTCACATATACATCAGTGTGAAGCTGAAATTATTCCAAATATAGGTTTCTTCGCTCAAAATTGCTTGTAGCCATTACCAGACTGGTAATGTAGAGTCCAGAGAGCCATAAGGTTTCTGGAGTTTCTCCTTCACACCTGGAGCAACACAAATTATCCAGAAAGATCCATTTCTTACTCCAAGTCAGGATGGCAGGGACCTTCAGACAGTCAGCCTTTCTCTGTCCTTATGTACAGGTCCCTGATAGGGTCTTAAACCAAGATGCCCCTTCCTCTCAGACAGGCAGCCTTTCTCTGTCCCTATGTACAGGGGACTGGTCCCTGACAGGGTCTTAAACCAAGATGCCCCTTCCTCTCTTTCATGATTCTCTGGAGACTTCATAGCAGAGTGTGGGACTGAGTCTTATATGAAACCAAGATTTATCTGCTCCTGTCATTTTGATGGGAAACCATCATTTTTCATTTCAGCACAGAGTTTGGCCCAGACTTAACCGCAGTTAGGGACTTCAGGCGTGATGCAAATATTAAGCAACACCTTTATTCTGTCTGCATTATACATGGCTGATACCACTTTATCAAGTATCAGTTTCATCTAACTGAATTTAGAGCGACTCACTGCTCATCTCTGCAAAGGAGCAGAGCAAACCAGGGAATTCTCAATCTGAAGGTTTTCTGTTGTATGCTGAGCTGCTTCATTTCCTGTTGAAGATGCTAAACATCAAAGGAAAGACACTGCACAAGGGTGTATCAGCTCTTCTTCCCAGCAGAGACCCAGACTTGGCAGTGTCCTCACCGAGCCTAACTCCAGAGCAGCCCAGGTGATGTCCACAATGTTCTTCAGCCAGGAGAGTTTCTTAACTCTGATCTGCATCTCCAAAGTCACTTTCTTTTTTCCACCCTTAAACACAACACCTGAATTTTACCATAGGCTTGGAGACTGGTTGTAGCTCCAGGTACAGGATAGTGCTCTCATGAGCTGTGTTATAGCCTCCTGTATAGTTTTATAAAATACTTTTAGGTGAATAAAGTGACAGATACTATAAAACAGAAACAGCAAATGAAAGGCTTGAAAAAGTCATATAAAACACATCAGGACTAGTTTTATTTGACAGACATGTATGTGTAGCATTTATTACATAGAGAACTCAGTCTAGTCATGTACAGAACACATCCCCTACTGAAATTCATGATTTTCTGCATATGATTACCATTTCCCCTGGTTCCTTTCTTCCCCTCATTCTTTTCCTTTTGAATAAAGGGCAACTGACAGTTGCATGTTACTGAATTTACTTATTTAATATGAGCCCATTGCTCTATAAAGGGAGTTTGCCTCTGTATTCTGCAATAATCTGATAATAGTGAGTTGGACTGAATATTATAGCGTGCTTACATTTAATTAAGCAATGACCATTTGTACTCCACAGACTCAAGCTCCCTGTGGTGCTAAACCAGAAAGGAAAGTCCTTTAGGAGATATGCCAATCTTTTTTATTTCCTCCATAGTCTTCCTGTCTTTCTGTGAATGCAATTATATGAACAAATAAAACGGCTTGACTAAATTCCCCTACGTGGCAAGCCCCTTTCTGCTGATAAAGCTACTTGTGTGTGCCATAATTAAATGAGAATCTTAATATTTAACTAAACGTAATAGGCTGTTGCTTCGGCACTTTTGTGGGGGTTGTGCTTTCAATAGAGAAGAGCCAGGCTTTTCAGAAGCAGGATGAATAGTCATTGAACCAATATACTATTGCTAAAAGATCTCTGAAATGCATTTACTGGGAAGGGCAAGTTTTTGTGCTGTGCCTGCCTGTTCAGCAGCGATGGGCAGTGAGAACATGATAATCAGGTACCAGAAGTGTTATTTGAGGGGCTGGGGTTACATGTCTATTTATCAGTGTGTCTCAAAAGGGAAATTACAGTCAATGAAACACATAATCTGGTGTGAAATCTCAAACCCTCCTTGGGTTCACATGGCAGAGATAATGGCCTGGATCCTCCTGGTTCACAGCCAGAATGATGCCATGGGGATGAGCCCTGCAATGGGCTTCCCAGACCAGGATTCACTACCATTACAGCAGGATTGCCCTGGCCCTTGAATCCTTCTCCATGAGGCTCAGAATCTTCACCATCACCAGGAGATATTTCCCACAATCTAGGGCATACAGCCTTAAAGACGTTAGAGTGTCTTTAGGATGTCTCCTAAGGATGGGCCCTTGCCTTACCAGCTAGGAACACAGCCTTAAAGATGTTAGAGTGTCTTTGGGATGTTTCCTAAAGATGGGCCCTTGCCTTACCAGCTAGGAAGGACTTGCCCTTTCTAGTGCTGGAGGTGGCTGCTTTTTCTAGAAGAGGCTCAGCAGGTAAAGCACATGGCCAGGATGTGGGGGTAAAGGTTAAATCCTGGGAAGGAGGAAGGAATCCTCTATTTCAGACACAAAGAATCCTTGGGTAAGACACACAAGCAAAATAAACAATTCATGAAACACTCTGAAAGCCAAGACTGCTACAAACCCTGATGTTGCAGGTTTGTATGACCTCTGTCCACTCTCTTCTCCCCATGGTTTTCCTCCCCATGGATTTTATCTTGCATAGGAGCACAACCCTCTCCTGAATCACTCCATAGTCTCCTCCGTTTCCCAATTTATTATGCATAACTTGGGCACAGACTTGAGGATCTCTTAATTTGCTATCTAGATTTGCATGGCAGTTGAATGACCAACTGGGATCCATAGCAGTGTACCAACACAGCAGGTCACATTCCCATCTCTGGCAAATCAGCTGAATGTCACTGATTTCAGAAATATAGCTTTTTACCACTGCAGAACTTGGAAGGGGTTTCAAAGACTTAACTGAATTAGACACCTCTGAGGACTAGAAGGAAATCTCTTCATAAGGAAACTCGTGTTATATATATCAAAGTGGCTATAAAATGTTACAATGCATTTTCACAAACAATACCAGAAGTTTTTCTGATCTTTTCCTTCTTCTTTCAGAAATTTTTGAGCTGGAGGTAAATGAAAATGTGCAGCTGGCCGTAAATGACAGGCAAATGCCTAAAGTAGAATACATGGAAATCAAGATAGATGATTATAGTAAGTAGCACCTTTCTTTTCACTTATTTTTCTCTTTCACTGCTGTAGCTGTGAAATGATACAGTCATCTTGGGTAGACTGGCAGGAGGAAAAATGACTTTGGCTCTCAATAAACTCACACAGTTTGCAAAGCACTCTCTTAGGATGTGCTACACAAGGAGGTTATTACAGAGGCAGAATTTGATGAGAATTCAGCTGAAGAAAGGCAGAATGATGGGGTTGGGTATTTTTTTCCCTTCTAAAGCTTTCTTTGCAGAGAAAAGGCCACTCTAGGAAATGACCCAGTGGGGTGCCTCCATTGTTGGGGGCATTTGCCTTAGCTGTGTGTCATTTGAAATTAGCTTGGAGTGGGATACTGTCTGTGCTTGCTGGCAACAGCTGTGCTGCCTTTCAGTGCACAATCTGAACTGCAGTGAATGAAGATGAGTCTCCAGTGACTGCCCATCGGAGTCATCCAGGATTCTTTGAGAAAGCCATATGATTTGATAGGATTTAAAAAACCCAACAGTTTTATGAGAAAAGGCAAAAGAGATTTCACCTGGAGTTAATAAAGCAGAAACTTGGAGTAGTTTGTAGCTGCAGCTGGTGTGTTATTCCTACCACTTGTATAATCATTCCCCATGAATATATATGCCAAATAGAGGGAGAAAAGTGTAAGCATCTTCTGCCTGTCTCTGTAGTTGTACCCAAAACAACCTAAAAAGCACCTCCTGCACCAGTAAGCAGATAATTTACCTGTTTGTGGAAAATCCACATACTCAGAGCAGCTGCACAATGTCTCCCCAAAATCCTGGTTTGTATGTATGGTGGCAACTCTAAAAAAACCTCAAAGACCCTGGGTTCATGGTGTGGCCCATAATATTTCCCAGGCCAGGAAGATGTTTACCTCTCAGGCTGGAGGCAGTGAAATGCAAGCTGTGAGGTGTGCTGGGGGCAGGTTACCTAGTTCAACCATTACCAGACGTTTTAAGAGGTGAAACGAAGGCTGAGAGATGGTTACCATTTGAAAAGGATAATAATGGCCCTAAAATGTTCTGCTTGCCACACAGGCAACATAAACCAGTGCATAAAATAGCAGGAAAAGACATGCACTTCCAGGCCTTATGGGCAGGAAAAGATGGGGAAAGAGCCTGGCATAAAGATCCTGTCTATCCCGTGCGTCGGCTTGTGTGACACTGGAGTTTATTAGGGATAACTCAGCTTGACACTAAGTTTCTGAACTGCAGGTGTCATTGCAATTCTGCTTATTTAACCAAAAATACACATTTATGTGTGTAATAAATGCAAAGTGGCCACAGCCATGTGACTCTTCTGCTGTGCCCTCCCAGTATCTTCTAAGCTGTGGGCTTAGCAGCCTTGGGAGCACTGCACGTAGCTCGTAGTAATATTTAAAGTCAAGTGATGGCCTTTTTGGCTGTCCCTGGGCCATTGATCCAATTTGCAGCTATTAGCATTCAGATGGAATAACTAATTAGGCAGAGTGTCAGACAACGATTGCAAAGCAAACCACTTAAACCGCACCACTAATCTGTGTATTAATCTGCTGAAAATGCTCCTAATACCGATTTAATTGCTGAGCCTTTGCTAATCTAGATGGTAGTTAACATTTTAAAAATAAATGCACTGTCGTTAATGCAGACAGTGTTTGTATGGCAGTGGTTTTGGCTGTTGATATGAAGCCACAGAAATGGCACTAGGTTAAATGAAGTCTCGGTGATCACATCCCTCCCTTGCACTGGTTCTGTACCAGTATATATATACACCATGTAGTATAACTACATGGGCATCCTATTTTACAGCAAAATCTAGCCCTTTGGAAATCAGGATTAAAATACATGTTTCTCCCTCTGTCTTCACACCATTACAGCAAAATAATTCTATTTCTCTCCCCCAGCCACCATACTTAATTGGGTTTTAAATTACCATCTTCGTCACTGATTTTGCCCCTTCTCTGCTGCCCTGAAATATTGATTTCTGTCTGCGTCACTCATCCAGCTGCCAAAAAAGGAAAATTATAGCTATTGCCAGATGTTAATTGAATGCTGTAAAAGTGATGCATGACTGAGCCGCACGTGCTGTACCCCTGATTTATATTTCTTGTCACCTTGGCTATCACAATATGAGTCTTTTCTTTGCGGACATCCATGTTTCTAAGGTGTTATTTGCTACTGCCTCTGACGGAAAGCCATTTTTTTCCTGCTCATATGTGGCCAAAACACCAGGAAAATCTATTAGAGTTATGTCAGAGCTTGCACATTGAAGACACGTTGTTATTTGTTCTTTTTTTTGCTTAGGATTGCCGATGCAGATCTTGAAGCCAGCAACCTTTTCAGACACTGCGCACTACCCCTTGCTGTTGGTTGTGTAAGTTCTCACGTGTCCTTTCTTTTGGTTCACATTATTAGGGCAGCATGGAAACCTTGGCCATGATCAGAAACTTTTAAGATATGTGTTGTACAAGGAATGCCACAGTCCAGCACATTGGTCCCTATCCCATCTCACTTCAAAGCCGGGAGAGGCCAGATGTACATCACTTCTCTCTCTCCCATGTCTGAACCAAGGTTTTCAGCTCCCTGGAGAAATCCTGCAGAGTAAATTGCAAGATTTTGTCAAGCTATTCTATGTACACTTGCAATTCAATAATTTTGGGGGCAAAAACAGGAGGAGGAATAAAAGATGGATTTTGACTTTCTGTCCCAGTGCTTAGGGTATTCACTTTGCACTTGAGAGGTAGTTGTAAAGTGGAATTCAGTCAGCCTTACTAGAACTAAAACTTTAGATGCCCTCATGCAGAAATCCTTGCCTTGTAAGTGCCAGTGTCCCCTGAAGTGACAGTAAAGAGACAGCTGGAAACCTTTGAAGATCTCCATGAAGTTAGCATTTATATTAGGTAGGTAGGTTTTCCTCTTGGCAGGCGCAGCAGATTGGCATATTTTTATACAACATTTAGTAATAAAAATACACAATACAGAATGTTTTTTCTGGAAATTTGATAAGAAACTGGAGGAGGGAATTCACTGACCTTGGAAGAACCTGTTTGGCCCTGGCTGCATCCCACTGCATTGCTTGCTGCCTGCCAGAGGGAACACCCCATGAGAGACAAGCCTCGTGCAGGAGTGATGAATGCCTGGCAAGTGCCTCAACACCATCCTGCACATCCCTCCATGAAGGACAAAAACACTGCAATAAGCGTTTTGTTACATCACAAAATTACTGCAGAGAAAATGTACTTCATTATAAAAGTGCTTGAGGAAGATTGGTACTCATCAAGCTAACAGCACTTGATTAGGCTGCCTCTGGAGCTGGATGGGCCTGGGTCTCACTTGAATAAATGCAAATGACTGGAGTCACATGCACATTAAAATCCTGCAGTGAGTTGCCTGATGTCTCTGAGAACCCAAAAAAGGACAAAAAGTGGATCAAAATGCCAGTGGCTCTATGGTGATCCCAGTCCTAAATTATCGCTCAAAGTCAGCATCAGCATCCCTTTGTTTTTTCTCAGCTGTCTGTCTGAAGTGAAGTTTGTATTTCTCAAGACAGTTCCCTTGTGCAGGATCAGGCTCTAAGCAGAAGGGTGAAGGAGTCTTGTGCACCACTTCCCCTTTCGCACCAATTTGAGGACAAAATGGGCATTATTAATCCAGTTTTTAATCATTTTAAAAGGCTCCTTCCTTCTGTACTTCTGTGAAGCAGAGGTGACAGAAGTGACTGACAGCTCCATCTAAAGCCTCTCTCCATAACCCCATGGAAGAGGGGAGAGCAGGGCTTGGTGAACGGAGTACTAAATGAAGGCCCAGTGTTTGCCAGTAAAGAAAAGGATGACTGATGTCTGCAAGCTTCATCCAACATATTTTGGTAGTGCCAGTGCACTCCAAAGTGAAGCTCCTCACAGAAAACACTCCCAACAGAAATAAAAGCAGCTTTAGGAATGTAGAAAATAGATACAGATTGGAGCAGATATGCCAAACGGAAAGCTCAGCTGATACCTGTGTCGCTGCCCTAGTTACTTGCGGGAGGAATCCTCCTCAGTTAGTGGTGTACTTGCTAGCATGATTCAAAGCTCAGCTTAGTACAGTGATAGACACAGTGCACAGCAGGAGGCAAAACCCAACCTGAAGCATCCATCCAGCTTCAAAACCCATCCCACACAATCAGTCATCTGCATGGCATCCTAGCAGAGACTGGTCTGCCCTTCTAGAAGTCTGTCCTGCCTTTCCCTGCACTTTGGAGCCATGGGTCCCTATCCCACAGCAAGCTCCCAGGTTTGAAGAGCATGCTTGGTGCCATTGCCTTTGCTTGATGCCTGTTTCTGTTTCAGAGATGGCACACCCGGCAGCCAGATCGTAACGGAGAGGTTTGAGGTGGCGTGGGAAAGCGTCATGGTCAGCTCTCACAACGCCATCGTGCTGAAGTTCGACGGCCGTGGGAGCGGCTTCCAGGGCACTAAGCTACTGCACGAGGTCAAGAGGAGGCTGGGCCTTTTGGAAGAGAAGGATCAGTTGGAAGCTGTCCGGTGAATGACACTGTTACTGAAGAAATTAGTCCATTAAAGATAATTAACCCAAGACTGTCATTAGTCTTGGTTGCTTTAATGATGTGCAGGGGAGAGCAAGGAGATGGGAAGGAAGAACAATACAGTTATACAGCTGTAACCAAGTGATGGCATGTGAGAGGCAGCTCATACCAACCAGTGCAGAGGAAGAAAAACAAGCCTTAAACAGAGCTAAATTAGAGCACACTTATCTATATCCCATGTTCAAAGCCTATTTATTTTTAGCTCTGTACAGTCATGTAGCTACAAACAAGAAAGCTTGAATATCTGCTCCTACATTAATCTTTTGCATGCCTGGTAGTTGGAAAAATCCATCTTTAAATCCTTAAACTTTTTAAACAGAATAACCAGTGCAAAACCCTAAATGTCAAGTCCTGTCATATTGTTAGATTTATTCTACACATAATCATGTTAAAAGCACTATCAGAGTATTGCAATAGCAGCAGCTTTATTATGACTTCCAGAGGTAGTGCAGGTTGTTTGCTGCCATTGCTTGGTCAAATCCAACACATGAGGTTGCAAAATTAAATCAAACAGACTCATGTGAAAGCAGCTTGTACCAGCGTGATTTAGATTGTCTACATCAAGGGGTAATGGCTTTAAAGTGAAAAAGGGCAGGTTTAGATTAGATATCAGGAAGAAATTCTTTACTGTGAGGGTGGTGAGGCACTGGAACAGGTTGTCCAGAGAAGCTGTGGTTGCTCCATCCCTCAAAGTGTTCAAGGCCAGGCTGGATGGGGTTTGGAGCAACCTGGTCTAGTGAAAGGTGTCCCTGCCCATGGCAGAGGGGTTGGAACTAGAAGATCTTTAAGGTCCCTTCCAACCCAAAACTTTCTATCGATTTTTCTGCAGCCACCCTAATTTAAAGCTGATTAAAATTACACTATGTTTGCTATATCTAAGGGAAAAATATTTTTAACTCATTGTTTGTCCTTTCTCATGTTCTAGGACAATGCTGAATGAGCCTTACATTGATAAAACACGAGTTGGTGTGTTTGGGAAGGTAACGTTTTCCTGTTGTTCCTCTGTGCTCTTCTAGTTGGCTGATGTGGCTAAGCAGCTGAGCAAAATCCAATTTATTTAATGTGGTGACTTTTTTTATTATTTATTTTTGAGATAGACTGTGTCTTGCTCAGAGATGTTAAAGGTGGAAGATTTCATTTTATTAATGTTCATCAATTACTTCTTTTAAATAAACTTCCAAGTGCAAAAAAGGACTATTCCTCAGAAAAACATTGTCAGATAATGAATTATTTTTTCTCCTTGCAAGGTTTCTTTTCATTTTCATCTTGTCCCTTAAGGCCTATGGGAGTGTGGGTACATCAAACTCATGTGTACGAGTGTACAGTGCTGTTGATTTCTGAGGCTGATTTGCTCCACAGTGTGTGCTGGGAAAACAGCAGCTGTAAAGTACACACAGTTTGAGATGAGAATGGGACTGTGAAGAGAAATTTTATATTGTGGGACATACAGGCTTGGAGTGGGCGAAGAGAGCTGCACATACAGCAGCAGCTCTGCAGAGAACTGCTAACAGGCTGATAGCAGCCACTGAAATCGTGTTGCCAGTTTTAAACAGAAAAAGACTGGGGTAATAGTTTGGAGAGGTAACATATCTGGTTAGAGTGTGTTGTCAGTTTTAAATAGAAAAAGACTGGGGTAATATTTTGGAGAGGTAACATATCTGGTTAGAGCTACAGTCTTAATGTGGGATGAAAAAGATCAGCTCTTGGGCATGCAACCCTCCTGCCTTCAGGAGAGTGCAATGGGTGTAGAGCTCATCTTCAGCTGCATCTGCCAAAGCCAAGGAAATGTCCCTTGTTTCATGCTTTTCAGAGCAAGGTGTTAAAAACTCTATAATGGTTGAGCATTTGCTGCAAGGTCCCAGCTGCAGTTTCTGTACCTAAAAGCAGCAGTGCCTCATGAGAGGACCTCTGATCCCCTGTCCCATTTCTGTTCCAGGATTATGGTGGCTACCTGAGCACTTACATGCTTCCAGCTGGTGAGGAGGATCAGGTGTTTGCCTGTGGAGCTGCTCTTTCCCCAGTGACAGACTTCAAACTATATGGTAAACCCCATCCCTGAGCCCGCAGACCCTCTTGCTGGCCACAAATTATGTTTCTTCCCTATCCTTTCCCAGTTATCATCTTTCTTCATCACTATCCTGCCTGTTTTATATTATGTGACTTCTTTGGATTAGCCATAAACCCTTTTTTCCCACTTGAGCAATTTTGCTGGCACCGGTGGGACCATCCATAGTGGTCAGAGTAATCAAATAACTTTATTGCTCCTTTTAAATAAAGGTGAATTGGCTTTAAACCCTCCAGTCTCTGCCACCAAACTGGCCCACTGCATTGAATCCAGCCCTTGCCACCAAACTGGCCCACTGCATTGAACGTGCTTTTTTCTTGTCTGAATCACCCATCCATGCAATCTGTGGTCCAGTCTGCCTGGCCCATCCTGTCTCTGTTGACAGTACTGCACTGCACATGGTGCTCCTTTCTCTCAAAGACACCAGTTCCCTTTGCACTTAGTGCCAGTGAAAATCAGGAGACTGCCATGAAAGTCAGGAGTGTTCAGCCAGCCTTCAGCAGTTTCTGCAGTTATCCCTGAGACCAACAGGAACTTGCAGTCAGCTTTTGATGGAGATGGCCCCATGTGACAGGAGAAAGGAACATGACACGATAGTGCTCTTCTATCTCAGTTGCATTAAGAATGAAAAAAAAGGCTCTTCTGTGACTGATTTAGAAACCAGAAGTACATGGTGATAATGACAGACTGTAATATCACGTATATCCTTACTGCATTTTCCAAAACTTTTAGAAGTGCATTCTCTATAATTAAGGCATTGTTGGAATATAAGGTCTTTTCTAGCCTTTGCAATATTTGACTCCGAAGCACCAGTGGACTCACTTATGACTGAAAATTGTTTTCCTTTTTTTCTTTTCAAGCTTCAGCCTTTTCTGAAAGATACTTGGGCTTGCATGGGATTGATAACAGAGCATATGAGGTAACTGCATGGACACTGCATTTCCCTGATAAAATGTGAACTGGGTTTAACTCTTCCTCCATGTGTTATCTTTTGGAGAGGGAGCAAGGATATGCAAGAGGGACTCACTAGTGAAGCTTTGAAGGTGTCCTTCAGGCTGCTTACTGCTTTTCTTGTCTTAATAGTAATAATGGATAAAGTTTTTATTGATTAGCCCTCATGTCTTCCTCTCTAAATTGGGTAAATGCAATTATACCAGTTTTACAGAATGAAAGAGCTGAGGTTGAGTGACTCAGATATGCCCAAGAGGACACAGTGTCACAACCTCCTGCCAATGGTCTTGCCATTTTGATCCTTTCTGAGATATACTTTTTGACCAAAACTCAAGTGAAGTTCAGCTTCTCTTGACTTTCTCACAGTATGTGATATTTCAGATAGGCAGAAGTCTGTGCCAGAATTGAGCAGGACATGGGAAAAAAAACATGGCACCAGTTAAAAAAGACATTGTTTAATATGTGTGACGAGACCAGTTGGATCCTGTGCTGCAATTACTTAGATGAAGTACCTAGTAAAAAATAGTCACAAACAAAATTTGTTACAGAGAAAACCTTGTTCAGCTTTGAAGCTTTGTCTTCAGCTAGAAGATACGAAGTGCAAATGTTTGGCCCTCTTTCCTTAGAGAAAACCTTGTTCAGCTTCGAAGCTTTGTCTTCAGCTAGAAGATAAGAAGTGCAAATGTTTGGCCCTCTTTCCTCACATAGAAGGCAGATATCACCCTGTGTCCTTGCAGGAGAACCTTTATCCTGGTTATCTAAACTCTGAGTTTGTTGTCTCTCAAATTTTGCACTCATAATCTCTAATTGGTGCAAACTCTCCTTGTTCTTTTAGAGATGTGCAGGCAGGTCAGCAGAGGTGAAAAGAAGAGAAAGTATTCCATAAATGGGAGCTTTGAATTGTCACATGCACTTTGAGTGTTGAAGAGTTGACCTAAGCAAATAGTGGCACTTTTGATTGTGTTGAGATTAACTGCTGGAAACAGCTCCTGAGCTCTCTGCAGAGCATGGCACTGTTGCAGGGTCCCTAACTGATAACACATTTCCTACACACCATAGTTGAACCATGAATTGCTCGAGGAGAAGAACTGCTCCCAACCTGGGGAGCAGACATGAACTTTATGGTCACATAATTCAGGACCTGATGTAAAATGGCAGTGACCATATCTTAATAATATATAACAATGTTTTTAGCCAGCTAATTCAACCCCCCCAGCCAGACATGGAAGGACCTGTTGCTGTTGGATATGCACTTGTCTGTCTTCTGTGGAAATGATGTAGGACAGTGGGAAGATGAAAACATATACAATAGGATTGATATAAGGGTCTCTCAACTGAAAAAGATGTTAACTCATGTAAGTGAACCATACCTAGGGCACACACATTTAAACAGTGAAGGAAACATGAGTTTGAGACAGATATTCTTCTCTTCCCCTCCTATAAAAGGGTAACATCTGTGATTTGAGACTTACATACCTTTTGCCACTGCAAGACTCTTTTGGACTCTCCTTGAGACTTGTATTCTTCTGAGCAATACAGAAAAAATGTGCAGAAGTTCTTAATTTCTTACTCTGTACCATTTGCAGTCATTCGGATTTGCACTTGTTTCCCCCTGTGCATCTGAAGACAGCTGGGGGCAAAGGCAGGCTCAGCAGTGGACACTTGAATTTCATTTCAGATCCTCCCCTGGGCTGTCAAAGCTCATTGAGGTTGGCCTTCAAACCACACCAAAGTCACTCCAGATCCCTGAAGAGTTCCTAGACGTAGGCGCCTGGGCACACTTTTCATCAGTGTTTCATACTCACTGGAAATTCACTGAGACATTTGCCATGTATTCAGCAGTTCAGGCTTTTAGTGAAGGTTATCAGAATAGATAAGGATCTCTGACCTCTTCATAGAATCATAGAATCAACCGGGTTGGAAAAGACCTCAAATATCATTGAGTCCAACCCTACTGTGGTCACTAGACCATGGCACTAAGTGCCTCATCCAGTCTCAGCTGGAAAGCCTCCAGGGATGGGGAATCCACCACCTCCCTGGGCAGCCCATTCCAATGCCTGAGCACTCTCTCCATAAAAAATCTCTTCCTAATATCCAACCTAAACCTCTCCTGGCAGAGCTTGAGTCTGCGCCCTCTTGTCCTGCTGCTGGTCGGCTGGGGGAAGAGACCAACCCCCACCTGACTCCAGCCTCCTGTCAGGGAGTTGCAGAGGGCGAGAAGGTCTCCCCTGAGCCTCCTCTTCTCCAGGCTGAACACCCCCAGCTCCCTCAGCCTCTCCTCATGGCACTTGTGCTCCAGTCCTTTACCCAGCCTCATTTATCTTCTCTGGACGTGCTCCAGCACCTCAATGTCCCTCCTGAGCTGAGGGCCCAGAGCTGAGCACAGGATTCAAGGTGTGGCCTCACCAGCGCCGAGTCCAGGGGCAGAATCACCTCCCTGGTCCTGCTGACCACACTGTTCCTGATCCAGGCCAGGATGCCATTGGCCTTCTTGGCCCCCTGAGCACACTGCTGGCTCATGTTCAGCTTTCTGTCTATCCAAACTCCCAGTTCCCTTTCTGCCTGGTGCTCTCAGCCACTCTGTCCCCTCTTCCTGCTGCTGAACACTGAGTCTGGAAGCACAGGATGATGATCTATTTTTCCTCTAGACTGACAGAAGTAGCCAGGAGAATATGCTGTGCTGGTGTCTGCTTGTTATCCTTGTGATAAAGTATAAATGGAATTAAGTACTTCTATTGCCTCCATATAAATTGCTAATTTCTAGCAAGATTTTTAATCTTATTGCAACCTTTACCTTCACAGATCAGCAAATTAGCACACAGAGTCTCATTACTGAAGGAACAGACATTTTTGATCATTCATGCTACTGCTGATGGTAAGTCAGTCCATCATGTGAGCTCATTATATGTTTGGGGTAGCTTTGATTTTTCTTAATTAAATTTGCCCCTTTAATGATTGCAATCTGTTTTTACAGAAAAAATCCATTTTCAGCATACCACGGACCTTATCACACACCTAATTAGGGCCAAGGCTAATTACAGCTTGCAGGTACAGTATGTGTTTCTTTTTTGTCTTATTTGAACAGTTATTTCCCACTTTGAACCCAAACTGCTGTTATGAAACAGGCTTTGAAAAGGCACTTGCAAACTCAGCCTGGCAGTAGAATTAGTGCCAGCATATAACATGTTCCTATGTATTCCTGTGCTTATATGATGCCACTATTTTGCTTTGGACAGTTGTAGAACAATTATTAAATTACAGTAAATTAAGTTGTAAGGGACATATCTCTATTGAATTGATGCCTGTTGAGTTTCTTTGGGGAAAACAGGACAAATTCAGGATGAATTACATGGGAAAGAGGGATTTAAAATTAAATCAACCAGAAAAGTTAAAACAAGAAATGTCACTTAAATCTGACATCCCACTGTGAATTACATACTCTGGTCTAGAAAACCTCACTTTCCACCAAATTATATCTCTGTTTTGCTGAATAGCCCATGTCCAAACCATTAAAGCTTTCAAAATAAACCCACCCACCAGCCATGGGGATTGTCCCTACCCTTGGCTACATCCCAAGCCACAGCCAGGAGTGTTAGCATAGAAAACACATAATCACTGAATGATTATATGGGTGCTTTTATTGAAGAGCTCTGGGAGTCAGGGTACAGACCCGAATCTGACTCCGACCTGAATCTAACATGGATACATTTTTATACTCTTTTCTTCACTTAATCATAGGTTAATCATTACATTACTATTATTCTATTGATTTCACCCAAGCATGGGTCCAAGTCGCTTTTGATTATTGTTATAATCCTCCCTAGGCATAACTTCAAGTTCCCTTTGATCATTGTTATAATCCCCCCAAGCATAGTTTCAAGATCTTACAATAATAATCTATTAATCAGGCAAATAATGATCTATGAATCAGGCAGATATATGCAGGTGGGTATGCAAGTACATACAAGTTCGCATCGCTCTACTAAATATAATATTCATCTCTGTCACCTATTAATCAGGCAGATACATGCAGGTGGATAATATTTATCTTTGTCACTAAGTTTACTTCTAACTACCATGATTCGCTCTACTAAGTATAATATCCACCTTTGTCACTGAGGTCTACCTTGACTACCACAATTCCAAACATTTTACCCCATGCTATCAGGAGAGTGCAACTCACCCAGACTCAGTCCATGCCAGGGACCATGCTACAGCTCACAGTACAGATGGTTGTGTTGTAATGTCCAAGTCCTGCTCGCACTTGATTTACTGAATACCAGCTCCCTCTGGCTGCATGTCTGCAGAGCTTCATTAGATGGGTGTGCTCACTCCATCATGCTCCAAAGGCAGCTAGGATGGAGCACAGCACAGCACCTAAGCAATGACCATGGCATGGATTTGGTCACTGCTACAACTGAGGTGGCCCTGCACATTTCCCAGTGCAAAAGCATTAGTATGTTGGAGCTTGAAAGACCTTAATGACCTTGACATGCATCAAATGTTAGTTGAGGATTGAAAGGAGGCCTAAGGGACCTGCATCTTGGATTGAGGTATCCAGAGCAGTGATGAGACACCTCAGACCTGCTTGAAATCATCCAACCCTAGGGACTCATTTTTTCCCCCTTCAATATCCCAGTCAAGACAACTCATTATGATTCTCTCGCGTTCCTTCAACACATGCAGAAGTTACCTGCTCTGTTCAAGAGGAAAGCTGTGTTTAAACTATTTCATTTCTAGCTTCCCAATTATTTTTCTATTTAGTTACTTCTCCAGCAAGCTTTATTTAATAATTTTACTTCATGACATTTTTTCTTTCGAGCCCTCATTTCAGTCAGTAAAACCCAACGTTATTTCTCCCCAAAACTTACACTGTGTTTTTTTAGATTTTCACTGTTGATTGTAAGTGAGGTCTGTTTCTTCTTAGCCTGAACTTGTTCAGAGCAAAATTAAATAGAAAATCCTCCCCCCAAAAAGGTTTCTTGTGAAGGAAGATGCAAGTCTGTGCTCAGAGCTCTGTGGTGCCCAAATTACCCTGAGCCTCACATGCATTCACAGTAGTGCTGGGGAAATGCAGTGGGTTTGCAGATCAGCTCAAGTTGCAGGTATAGGTGCTGAGTCCTGGGACTTCCAGCTCCTAACAGTGTGCATTTGCCTGTTTTTTGCAGATTTACCCTGATGAAAGCCATTACTTCAGCAATCCAGCATTGGAGCAGCATCTGTACAACTCCATTGTCAACTTCTTTGTGACATGTTTCCAAGTTCAGGACAAACTCCCACTAGCCCCACTGAAAGAGGAGGAAGATGAAGATTAACCCTACTTGTCCGTGCTAAGCACAAGGCAGATCTCTCTGACAATATGCAACTGGATCATTTTCCTGAAGAAAGAGATGTTGTTAGCATGTATTTTAAAAAAACTGAAAGCAGCTCATCTGCTTTACTTGACAGCAACTCCTTCCTAAATGGAAGAACATTAAGCATGGGGAACTCAGCAGAAACTGCTGTCTGAAATAAATCCATCACAACCAACATCTTCTTTTTCTTTGGTTGTTTTTTTTCTTTCCTTCCTTTTTTTTGTGTTTTTGTTGTTTGCCACAAAATGACTTCTAGAGTGAAAGTGGTAAGACATTGAACTTGAAGGAACACCCCAAGAAACCGCTTTGAGGACTGGAAGATTTAATGTCTCTTTGCATTCAAGCAGTCAAGCAGTAGCAGTGAAATCCATCATCCATATTAAGGTTAATATGGTTAGCATCACACCGTGTCAGAAAAAAATCTAACCTAATACATGGAAAAGATTATAGCACAATTAATTTAAAGGATACTGATTCATACACACTTTCCTGCTCTTTCCCATCTTTGTCATTGCTACAGGACATACAAATTCGATCGTACGAAATGTCACTATAGTTACACAGATCTTTACCTTCCTGTAATTATTTCGTTAATTCTGTATAGCTTTTACTTCTGTTTTCATTGGGTCTCATGCTTATCTTATTAGCTTCTCAGCTTGTTCTGGATGGGGAAAAAACACATACACTGAATTGACCGACTCACTTTAGACCTCAGGGGTCTAATGAGGCAATGGGAGTTGAGGTACCCAGACTTTAAAAAAATCTATTAGAATAAAGCAAAGAAAAGCTCACTCTCGTGCTCCCAGAATAGCTTTTTCCAGCAAGATTGAGTCTTTTCTTTGGCAGCCTTGAAAAATATGCACATAAATAAGCTAAATCAGCTTAACATTGAGATATTTTTTATTGTAATGTAGAAAAATATGCGACAGTCATGATTATTCTTTTTCTTCTTTTAGTGTTAGAACAACTGGTTGGCAACCTGTTGGGGATCAGCTAGTTGAGGCTGTGGGAGCAGGAATTTGTACCAGATGCTTCACAGATCATCTTATAAAGCCATTTAAACAGAACCAATGTGCAGAGATTTATTGCACATGCTGTCTGTGGCTTAGTTTTACTCCAGGTCAATGATTAGCATATTCCAAACACATTTAATTATCTCTCCTGCTCACACTAATTTTGACAAGCATAAAAGAAAAAAAAAAGAAGGATTTTTGCTTTCAAATATCTAACTGTTCATTCTAGCAGTGCAAAACAACTTGGAAAACTTCTTGTGAAAACATCCAACTCTCAGAAAGAAATCCAAGCTTCATCCACTTCCATGTACTGCATCATAAGAATTTTGACTAGTGTCGCTACTTGTAAAATATTCTGACCAAATGTACAGCCAGTATTAATACTGTATATTTCATTTTGTTGTATATAAAGGAATGTAAGTCAGCTATTTGTCAGATCCCCAATCCAGTATTAGTCTTGTGTTCGGCATGCATGCAGTAACACTTCTTTGCTGATCAGGACTCTTTAGAAGCACTAGCTTGGAAATATAACAATTAATGTAGTTTCTTTTCTTGTTTTAACAGCTTGAATGTCAATGCCGGTTTCTACTTTTTACATAGTACTGTGGGTAAACTCACCTCCTGACAGCAATGATGATGTTTCCATTGTGTTCTTTAGTGTGTCTTTTTTCTTATCTTTCTTTTAAGCTTTGAATGTTGGTTGTACTTTGGCCATCATGAAAAAAAATATATTGATAAACCACAGAAATGACCTAGTTTGGTTCTGATTATCTTCTTTACTTTACAGTGCATTGACATTGTGTGAACAAGAACTACAGTATAAAATCTGCTTTCTCTGGCAAAATGCCAAATAGACAATAAGAATGCTGCGTGTCCAGATTTTGCTACTCTGAACAGGCTCAAAAGCCTGAAATGAACTTGAACTGAGAAATGTAAAAATCTGCTCTGTCCACAATCTTTTGTAGAAAGAACTTTAGGATGTGGCATGGTAGTGTTTGTTCATTCATGGAATAAAACATTATTTTACCACCCTGGTTGCTACTGCTGTTATTTTGTGTTAAGTACTTAGATAAGCATCAAGTTGCTGAAAGTGCTACTCCTAGTTGAAATGAAACCAAACTCCAGGGTGAAGATCAGAAACATGAAAAGAAATCTTTGTAAATAATACATGTTGCCATTTAGATGATGTTCACAAAGATGCTCAGACGGCTGGAGCACCTTTCCTATGAAGACAGGCTGAGAGAGTTGGGGTTGTTCAGCCTGAAGCAGAGAAGGCCCTGGGGAGACCTTAGAGCACCTTCTAGAACCTAAAGGTACTAGAGGGAAAGCAACTTTTTATGTGGGCAGATAGTGACAGGGCAAGGGTTAATAGGTTTAAACTGAAAGAGGAGAAATTTAGATTAGATATTAGAAAGAAATTCTGCCCTGTGAGGGTGGTGAGGCACTGGAACAGGTTGTCCAGAGAAGCTGTGGCTGCTCCATCCCTCAAAGTGTTCAAGGCCAGGCTGGATGGGGTTTGGAACAACCTGGTCTAGTGGAAGGTGTCCCTGCCCATGGCTGGGGAGGGGGTTGGAACAAGATTATCTTCAAGGTTCCTTCCAACCCAAACCATTCTATGATTCTATGATTTAGTCTGTCTGTAACCTTGGTAAATGAAATGGTGACTACTTTTGAGGAACTCATGAAGTAGCTCAAAGTGGGTCAGTTCCAGAGTAGCAGTCAATAAGAAGAACCTCATCACCCTCTAGTCTTTGGTTGAAATGCACCTTTCCTCCCTTTCTGCCTGCTGATCTGGCACACAGGTTTCCTGAGGATATCAGCCAGGCATGACACCTTGACCAAAGGAAGTTTTGTTGTGCCATCCTGACTTGGTTTCAGTAAAACCACAATACAGCCATTATTTCATTTCCCAAAAGCCACTCGTGGGTTATGAAGCAGGAACAAAACACTAAACCTTATGGAGTCTGCCATAGCAGGTTTTTTTGCGGATCATTCTCCATCAGGAAAGGGGCAAGTGGAGGGAGTCACCCCACTCAAATTATATGTTTCCTTTCTAGCCAAGAGGAGAGCCAGATACCTGTCAGGGCACACCTCAGACACCTCCCTTGAATGAGTCGCAGCTTTTCTGTGTACCCATTTTCTCTGCTGGCTGTGGGGATAGCAATGACTATCCCAGACTGAAATAGCCAAGGAACAAGTGAAGGCCATCCCTAGCTGTCCCCTGTAACAGCACTCTGTGGACTGCAAGATCAGCTGGATGTTCCTCTGCCTTCTCCACACCTGAAAAGGAAATCCTTTCATTTTACAGATTTCTTTGGAAAAATGGGGATTTTGCTCAAATTAAAAATCCTGGCTATGACTGTACTCTACAATACACTGTACTCTCAGCTCAAGCAATAACTTTGGAAAGATTTAAATCTGCACAAACATCCATTTCTCTAGGCCCAATAAAGACAAGAACAACCTTTTAACCCTAAAAGACTACACCATGTACAAGGGTGGCAAGGATGCTTTCCAGGGGCACCTGCTGACTTGCTGCACCTCGTCAGTGCCCAGGCTGTTGTCCCATCAGCTGACAACAACTTGACTGAATCAGATTCATGGGAAGATAAATTTAATATTTCACAGCAAAACCAAGAAATGATTGTGGACATTTACTCTAATCTTTGTTGCCAGTAGATCAGGAAACAAGAAGCTGAAGCACTGGTGCAGGGAAGGGCAGATTGCATTAGTGCAAAACAGCTTTGCTGTTCATTTACTTAATTACCTAAATACAACTAGTATTTTTTTTTATTGTCCAAACAAATCAAGCTTATACTCTCAGCTAACTGGCATTTCTGGATGCCATAATGTTCAACTGTGGCATCCCAAAGCGGAAGAGAACTAATGAGCAGTGCCCTACTAATTCAGAAGGAAACCGCAGAGGGAAAAATGAGGCATGGCTGGTAGCTAATTAACAAAGCCAGGCAGCCAGCCATGTTTGTAATTGTCTGTGGGTTCAGGCATGGAGCATCCAAGCTCTGCCTACGAGCTCAAGCCAAATGCTGCATCTCTGAAGGCTACGAAGGGGAAAAAAATGAGTGAAGGAGAAAGGCTATGTGGGATACTCAGAGCAGCTTTCCCATGGGAAGACCAGTGCTGTTCACTATGGGGAGAAAAGGGTGTTTAATGTGAGACACAAAAGGAACGAGGCTGGTGCCAGTACCCTCACAGGTAGGTGCCCTTGCATTTGGTCTCATCTCTTCTTGTCTCTCCGAAGCTCACTCAGGCTGGCAGTGGCAAGGCACAGGATGTTTTAGCTTTGCATATTGGGTCACAGAGCACATCTGCCCTGCTGTCCCTCCTGAGGCTGAGGCAGAGCTGCTAGACATGCCTGGCTGAGGACTGGGCTGAGGACACTTTCTTCCTTGTCCTGGGTAAATGCTGGCTCCCCATGGTGTTCATTCTTCTCTGGAATTCTTATCTGCTTTCCATTTGCAGGAAAAATAAAAGGCAAAAATGGAAAAGAGAACAGAAAATGCCCAAGATCTCAGTTGCCCGTTCCTTAATCACAGCCTCTTACCAAGCTACTTTGCTTATTTCTATTCTGCTCTCTCAAGTTAAGCTCCAGGCTGGACTTAGAGCACTTGCTAAGATCTGTATCCTCTTCCCATTTCATCTTTCTGACCTCTCCCCATTCAGAGTGGTTACAGTCTGAAAGCAAACTCAGCACCCCCTTGGAAACTAGGGAGAGACAAATCTAAAACCAGCATGGTGAGCCCTCCCAATAAGCCATAGCCAAACTTAATTCTTTATTCTAATAGCTATTTCATGATGAATTCTTTGTCCTCCTATTGCATCAGGTCCCCTGCCATGAAGGTGGGGGCAGATCTGGCTTTACCCACTCCCACCATCCAACCAGTCCTCCATCCTCCTTACAGCCTGGGCCTTGCCAAACCTGTGGTGGGTGCAGGAATCACCTGCCATGAAGGTGAGGGCAGATCTGGCTTTACCCACTCCCACCATCCAACCAGTCCTCCATCCTCCTTACAGCCTGGGCCTT